GACCGAGTCTCTCCGCCGACACTTGTTGTGGGAACGTCAACAGAAGAGTGCGACTGCCAACGCGTTCCTGAAGCGCAGACATACGGCGCATGACATGGCCAATCTACAAGAATACCCTGGACCGAAGGGATCTAAGGGACAGCCAGCCGGCCAGGCCGGTGGTGCTGCAACCAAGGCTACCAGTCAGGGTAAGGACAAAACCGGATCCTTTACTCATTACACCGACTTTGGACCTTGGGAATATCATGTGAAGGGGTGGTGAAGCCCTTGACTGATGATTCGACTTACGTCTTCGCCTTCATTATCTGTGTCAAAGCATGTCCTTTCTTCTGGATCGGTAATGTTCGTTGACTATGATACCCGATACTCGAACGGCTACTCCTTGATTCGTTTCTTTTCTTTTCCAAAACATGTAAAGACCGCCGACTGATTATCATCCTTGTGACACGTACCATCACGACTGCATTGCATATTGGCGCACCTAGGGATCATACGGCTGTTATATCCGACCTAATGCGTTTCGGGTCATTGTTTTGCTTTTTTTCCCTTTTTTTTCTTTTCCTTTCATCTTACCCCATCTTTCAACATTGCATTGTGAGGCTGTCTGCTGTCATTATATATGGGCCACGGGAGGGACAAACGCCTTTTATTACATCCTTAATTTCACTTGTACAGATGAAATTTCCTCTTTGGCGATGCATGGTCGGATACGGTCTTCATTGTCTTGTTTTCTTTTTCTTTTTTTTCACTTCTTTTTATGGGTGGACATACTGAAAAGAAAAGAGGGTTTTATTGTTTTTCTCTTATTATGGATGTGATCGGGCCAGGGAGTGAGACAGCCTGCGTTTGATTATTTTGAAGCGGCAGAAAAACATTGCAAACATGCATCTTGGGAACAGCCAGTTTAGCTCTTCTTGATACCAGATACCACTACTTGTTGCTTGACTTGAAACCCGGACCATACCATTCCAGGGTCATTTTTTTATATTTTTTCCGCCGCCTATCTTTTGCGCACGTTATCACCGATGTATGCTACAGTGAGATTGCTAATTGTTGTTTTTCAAAATCCCCCACCCCCTCAACCCAACCCAACCCAAAAGAAATCTAGCGAAATAGAAAATCCACTTTGGATATGATATGAAGATACAACATTCCTTGATTTAGCTAGCAGTAAAGTAAAAAAGAAGAGGAAGAAACCTAAATAGAGAGCGACAGAGAGAGAGGAAGAAAGTGGTGTGTGTGTGGTGACGCGACTCTGCACCCGAAGCCATCCATCCATCCATCCATCCATTCAAACCATGGTGGTGGTCTCCGGCGGGCCTGGGCTACGGCGCACTGACACGTAGCATGGCCAGAAAATAATCACAATAAAATAATAATAGCAACTAATAATGGTAAAAAAAAAAAAATAAATAAATAAAATTGAATAGGAGGGTAGGGAACAGTAGGTACTTAGTAAGTACTAAGTAGGTGAGGGGAACTTTCCCCCCAACCCTCGAACCACCAGTCGTACCTGGTCAGAGATCTAGAATCTCTCGCTCGCACTGATCCCTACCCTACCCTTCACATGCGCCCGCCCGATATTAAGATCCCCCCATGAGGAAACGGGACGGGAGTAGTAGGATAGTGACAAAAGAAAAAAAGTAAGAACTCAAAAAAAGAATTTATAAGAATGGAAATAAGGGGAGGCGAAAAAGGGAGCTGAAAATAGAAGCTAGAAGCTTGAAGCTATGGATGTGTGTATCGGTGTATCTGTTCTGTATGGTTTGTAAAACCATCTACGCAATATTAAACTACGAAGTAGAGATTTCAACGATGATAAGAAGAAGCATGATGGAAGGTAGGAAGGTAAGGAAGGCGAAAAACACATCTCGGGGTTCCCGTCCCCTCCCCTCCCCCACCTACTTGTCAAACCCCAACCAACGACAACAACAACAACAATCGATGACAGATTGCCGCTGCGCCCTTGGAGGAACAGGGGGGTGTGGAGAAGGGGATGGGGGGGAAGGTATGACGGGGACAAAAAAGCCAGAAAAGCCGACTGAACCGGGTTGGGATGGGGATTATTACTCCAGGGTCACATCAGGTTCACATCATATCATGGTCTGGGTTACCATCGTAGTGGTATAGTTGCTAGATAACATCATCATCTAACTAGTTCGATTCACCGAACTACTACGATTAGTTGGTGGTAGTTGTGGTCCACGAGATCTTAGTAGACTCTATTTAGCTTTTTCGATAGAATAATAAGGATGGATACAGGCAGATCAGGGAGAAAAGTGTGCAAGTGTTTGCGCGCATGTGTTCATAAAGTATATCGGGGTCGACTAGATCAAGAAAACCCGGTCGGGAATTTGCGTCACTTGTTAGATGGAAGCTGTTCGATTGAGTTAGACGTGCGGTTTTTGTCGGAACTTTGTATGTAATGTCTGGAAGGTTAATTTTGTTTTTCTAATTCTGTTTATTTTGTTCTGTCCATGTGCTTTTCGGTTTGTGGTTAAGCATATTGGTCCGAGGTATTATTATAGTTGGCATGGCGTGGCATGGCGTTGATGAAGTATGATGGATGATGAGTTGGTGAAAGATATGGTTGTCAGGTCTATTACGATTAACTTCAGCTGGATGAGGTGCAGCAGGTGAGCAGCAGCAGCTCGTAATCAGCCCCTGTTAGAGTTGGAAAACGGTCGCAAGCATTCCTCAACCTGTCTGTTCTAGACTCTCTCTCTCTCTCTCTCTCTCTCTCGTGAAGACTCGAGCTCAACAACTGCCGTATGCGAATGAACTGCCGTGGAGGCTATTGCGCAGTCCCGTTGGAAATAAGCAGGTCATCTGCGTAAGCCTTGCAGATTTACTGGGCGGGAAGAATTCAAATTCTATCTATAGTAGGATCTCGTATCTGTCTACTTCTGTCTACATCCATTGATACAATGACATATCGTAGAGCTGCCATTTGTGTACTGGTATGCAACCGGAATAGCGGACTAATCCCCAGTATAAAGTTCGGTATAAGTTGCACTGGCCCTGGTCTCGTGCGCACTGACATCTTCATTGCTTCAACCACAATGACGTAACGCGGGTACTCCCAGGAAAACCGGAGTTGAAGTAGTATGGAGTGGACTCTTCTTACTAATGAGTTAACAACTCCGTAGATTGTTGCATTCAACAGAATCCCTCGGACCGCTGTAATCCGTTCATGTATGTCGAACAGGTCGCATTCCTTAGCTGAGACTTAGGTGTCGCCAAATGAGCTAGGTAACTAGTAACCACTGCAGTAGACACCAAAATAATAACAACGCACAAATGGTAACCAACCGAATTTCAACCCGCAAAAAGAAAACATAAGCACAATCCCGAAAAAGGGTCGGATCGGAACCATTGGAAGGAAGAAAAGCATACTGTGTACTGTGTAAGGAAAGTAAGAAGAGAAATTACATTTTTTTTTTCCTTTTCCCTCCTGATTTTCCTCTTAATTCTCCACAATATCTCCCTGAATCTCCCGATCACCTGCACCAATGACGGTCCGAGTTCCCTGCAAACTTGCAAACTCTGACGTCCGAGTCTGCCCGAAAACGTGGAGCAAAAGCCAGCCCGTGGTTCTCTCAAACACCCAGACCACGGCGGTGGATCCAACCCCGACCACCAGTGCAAAGCGGCTGAGGGGGAACTTGGCCCGAAAGAGTTTACTGCCCCTGCAGAAAGTCGGGGTGGACGCCGCGCGAGTGGTTTTTTGTCAGCTGAGAGGGGGGGGTTTCTCTCCACTCTTTCCCTTGTGTCAATTCCCAGGATACCTTGTTGCTAAGTACTAGTTTAGTTTTTCAAATTGCGGGTCTTTCTCTCTTGTGGAGCGAAATTTGAGATCGGGCAGCCAAGTGATTCGTTCCCCCCCCGAACAAAGTAGCCCTCACCGGTACTGTGAGCGCTGTTATACAGTGACACTGTATCTGAGTGACAGGTGCTGTACTCGGGCTGATTCGGGATGGTTGTATTCTATCCATCCTTACTAATTCTCACCTTCAGCCTCCCTCCTTCATATCGATCGCTATACGGACTATCCATCCATCAATAATCTTGATTTCTTCACGCTCGTTTCACTGCCTTGATGGCTGCTGGAAGTGGAGCAGTAACTCCTGCTACATACATCACCTTGAATCAATCGACACCCTGCTTACTAAACCAAATTTCTCTCCATCATTTCCTACCCTGTAGAAAGAGATACACACACACCGAGTGCCCTGAAATAATAAGTAATACCATGAATAATAACAACCAATAACCAACGGTGCCCGACCGAGCCAACTGAACAACCAACCAACGAGCGAGCCAACCAGCAATCGGCTACTAAGTACCCGGCCCGACTCCCCAATGCAGCTCGGCATGCCGAAACTTCCTGTCCTCCCACATCCATGCATACACAATGGGGTATATTCGGAACAATACCAAAACAAAAACTTAACTAACTTAAGACACCGAATTATCTTGATTATATCATTTGCTCTTCTATTTCTCCGAGAACATTCTGAACTCTATTTTCCCGCACACCTTTTTTACCTTCTTCGCGCGCTCACCGTTTTTCACACTTCCGCCCTTCTCGGCCCCATCATATGTACGTGTTCACTTTTTTGACCGCATATAACATATGCAACACTAATTATGTGGGTTGGTGGGTGAATCTAGACTTGGCTATTCTTGTTGTAAGATGATTGTCTAGACTCGGAGAATTAGTTCACTTGTTATCCTGTTTTCTGTCTTCTTTTCTTGCTACCTGATAGTTTAGTTACATTTGTAGTAGTATGCCTCGGCACGTGGCGGAGCGGAGAGAGATAGAGAGGTTGTTTGTTTCAGCCTAACTATTATTCTTTTTCAGTTAGTTTCTTTTTCTCAGTATAGTATGTACTCCGTATGACGACGGTCGTTGAGGCTGACCGGGGCGCGCGCATGGATCCTTTGATCGGGGAAATGCCGAGCTAGGTACGTATTCATTTTGCTTGGTTGTTTGTTTGTCACTCTGCTGTTAAGTAAGTTACCGCACTGGTCTGCTCCGTTGACCGGTCGGGGGTGTGGCCCCCGCTTACTAGACTTGGCGGTCACATGATATCAGATTATGAACTTTTAGATCTATACAACTTACAACTATACATTCCACTGTAGTAAAAAGTAGAAAAGAAAAAGATGACATCTACCTACCCATCATTTCTACCACCATAATACCGAGTTCTAAGAAGATCCCCCGGCTGATCAAACCTTTCCCAAAGCACCCTCTCCGCCTTTAGTTCATCATCATACCTCCTCATCACCTTCTTCAACCCACCATACCAATCCGGAACATCATAAAGCGTATAAAACGCCTTCGTATACTCCCAATACTCCGGAAACCACCCGGAAAACTGCCAATCAACGATCCCAGCCACCTTCCCATCACGAATGATGATATTCCTCTTAGCGATATCTGCATGTGTGAAACACGTCCGATAGTATGATTCTGATCCAGATCGTTCATGACACTTCGTGACAGCTTCGCCGTATACTTTCGTAGTATCTTCTATGGGAATCGTCCCGCGCAGGAACTCATGAAATTCGTCTATGGATTTGAATGGCCCGAAGAGCCAGCTTCCCACTCGGATGTCGTAACATTCTCCTAGTTCTGCGGAAGCTACAATACCTTCCTCTGGTGGTGTGAGTTTTCGGAGTTGATCGATGTAGCTAGCAATTTCTTGGATCACTGCTTGTTTGTTTGGGGATGTGAAGTTGGGGTTACGCCATATTTCTTGGAGAGTGTCGCCTTTGATGTAGTCCATTTCGATGTAGATGCGTCCCTCGCTGGCTGGGTATGTGCGGTGGACTTTTGGGATGGGGATGGTGGTGTGTTGCGCGACGTATCGTAGACCTTCTAGTTCGGCGGGGAAACATGGTCCTTTGATTAATCGCGTGGAGCTCACTCTTACTACCTTCGGCGTGAAGGTGCCATAGCGCTTTTTGCCCAACCAAAGTCGAGCTCGAAGATAGAGAGATGTTATTGACTCGGATATTGGCATATTAGATCTAAGTGTAATTCAAATCCGAAGTCAGGCAAAGCTGACTATGACAAGATTGACTTGCCAATTATTCAAAAGCTTGGCTACCATCCTGAGGGCCTTGACCTCTTTGGTTAGATACTTGGGTTCATCAAAGAGGCTTTGTGATTGCATATGAATATGCTTCACGATCCCTTCTGATCACGTGTACAGTATACTTGGGCGGCGTTGGCAGCGATTACCAGCCACTGATATTAGGTGGGTAGGTCCAGGTCAAAGCGTGGATGGGTACGTAGCAGCACGAATGTTCATAAATCGAATGTGATTTGTATTAATTGTGGATCAAGTCTTGTCTTCTGGTTGTCTTACAAAGAAAAGACTTGTGTAAAGCGAACTAAGTCACTAGCGGAAGGATTATGTAGAGTAATACACCCTTCCTTACGGCCCAGACAACCGGCTGGCCCCCTTCAGACATCCCGAGATCCTGATTCGACTAACCACAATCTCAAACCACCGCTAGTATCAGCCACCTACCAGCTGTTTCCAGAGGCGAAAAAATGCCATCGGGAGGCGAAAATCAATCACATGCCATGTGTGAGTGTTTGGCGCTAACCACGTTTACGGTCGCAAGGCAACCGTTGATGCCGATTTTGGTGTGGTGCGCCTTCGAGAAGTCTTCTAGAAGAGGTTTGGGGTTTGGGGATCGCAGTACGCATTTGGCTTAGAGCGGTATTATACTTTCGATTTGTGTGGATGGATTTGTCGGTGTACTTGCCCGATGGGCTGGTATTGGTAATTTTCGGTAATTGGCGGGGGTGGGCTGTATGTAATCCGCTTGTACGGAATATCTTAGTCTGTTTTAGCGTATACACACAGGCGACGATGGGTTCAGGTTGCGGCTAGCAGACTTTTCCATCTTGTATAGGCCAATGACGGTGGAGATAATTGGGCTGTGAGGAAGAAGATTTTGATCTCCAGATCGGTGCCCGATGGTGAATAGTCGTAGCCTAGAGGGATCTCTTGGACGATCATTCGTATCCGCTCGTTGATACTGAAATTGTGCTTCTCACCTGACCATGTATATGGATTTCTGGGTGCATGGGAATACCGAACATTGTGTAGACCGCCTCGGTTAACTTGATGATTGGTCCAACCTGTTCACCTTAGTGGCCGTCCTGACATGCATGCGCATACCAATTGACTTGTTAGCTTTGGAAAAGGGCTTTTTTCTTGTTGTTGTTACGAGAAGGACAAAGCTTGCTATCTCGGCCTTGGGTGAAACAAGCCACATCACTACCTTCGTCGTCATTATGGAGATAGGCGGATATCAAGTTATCAACACCTTCCAAGTATAGCAACACAACACATCTGTGGCTGTTTGTGCATCGAGGCCACTCTCCAGCATTAAGACTGAGCAGCCGTTTAACGTCAGTTACGGGCCCGGAGGACGTCGCTCCGATTGAGTTCATGCTATGCGTAGAACCCCGCTAGAGACAACATGGAACCGTCCATCGAAGGTCGAGACGATCCGCACTAGTTGTATCTGCCTTGCCGGAGGAGGCTAGCGTGTATCTTTACGCGGCGAGATTCCGTTGGATGCGGGATTCCAGCACACAGAATTCCGCATACCAGGTGACCTATTTGGTCGTTTCAATAAGCACCATTGAAGATTTCTGGGAATCGGGACTTTAACTCAATGGTTTAGTAGAGTATGTATAATTGAGTCTCTATTAGGCATGGATTGCTGGATTCAGGAACTACTGTGTTGTTGGTGCTGATGGCTCAGGGCCAGGTCGTATGGACGGAGTAATCACGGAGAAACTGGTCCCTTTCTGAGCTAGCCGGAAGAGCTAGGAGTCACATGATGGCAATGACTTTTCCTGGTGCGGCGTACCTTGAATACGCGCTATCCCGAGGTCACAACCAATGATCTGTCTCACGTTACTTCAATTTGCTGGTTCACACTTGAAGCTACGGCGTCTTGAGAGTCAGGCGATTGCTTGATTTGCTGGGTGCAGTCAGTTGTAGATCAACCGTTCCCAAACCCCGATCCGTACATTTAGGCCTACCGCTTGTTTGGTTTGCCGCACATATTCCATTACCCAACCCACACATTGTGAATGCCGTGTTATGCAGCCGGGGGGCTCGTAGCTGGCAGCTAGCTGTATTACCCTCAAATTAGGGTCCCAAGTCACGCTCCTGAATATCCTCGTCAGTGGGTCCAAGTTACATTCATCCGGGCTCAACTTACTCGATTCGTCCTAAACCGCAAAAGCCACCTGCGAATCAGAACAAGCAGCGCTCTGTGCGCCTAGTTAGTGAGGGGGAGGCGCGGGGAGCAAGCCTAGCCACGACGATGATTTGGCGGGGAAGTTGGGGACGCGTTTCTTAGTGAGGCTTTTCTCTGCCCACTCCCGGCGAGACTTATCACCATTCAATCACTGTAGCACAGACAAACGTACGCCCGGTATAATTTGAGTTGTGGCTTTGTTGAAGGATCAGGGATCGCATAGGGCTTGGGAAATAAATGTCACCATATGGTGTGGTACAATGGCGTCGATGTCTCCCTGCATATCAGGATCGGAATGTTGGTGGGTTTTGGAGCCAAGTGACCGGGTATTCCGCGGGGGTTTAGGCTTAGTGGTATTGCCCGGGTTCCAACGGGGTTTTCGTCGGTATCAATAGTCCCGTTTACATACGGGGGTACTTGTGCTGTACCACTCGCTTGCTTATTCAACTCGACTCGTTTGCATTGCCCGGCCTATGCTCTTTACCAAACGGGTAAATTAGAAGATGAAGTCGCTGACAGTGGTTCGAAGAGGCTGATGGAGCGTTGCACTTCGCTATCATTTGCTTCTTGGAGGATGTGAATGAGAAACAGGATGCCCATGTCCATCATTACCCCGGGTATACTCCTATTGCGAATGCCAGCGGGAGAATCCTCAGTTTACCTGCTTTGTGCAACCGATGTACATTTGCAAACAAGTCAACAGTCGTATCATCACCGCCTGGTCTGGAATCATCATAGCATCATCTGTGGCTGCTATCTCCGCTTGACTTTACCGCGGGCAAATATCGCTGGCCAAATTCCAATGGGGGGAGATCCAAAGTGTCGGTGTGATCGATTAAGTTTAACTTCCTTTCTTCATGGAGGGTAGCAGCAAGCCAATTTTCTGGTTATCAGGAGCTCTGCTGTGCGGGCAATGTTGGGTGGAACTCGGCCGAAGACTTGATATAGGACCCTTCCAACAACTTGGGTACACTAGGTTAGAACTTTAGGTAACCGTTCCACCTACTGACCTTCCTCTTCTCGTAAATGTCGGTGTTCTGCCTCATTTGGGACGTAGGTAAATGTCCACATAGAGTATAACGTCCAGTAGGTGGAGGCCAACGTGAAGAAGATCAGTGGACATGCGCACTCCCAGCATACAAGCCACAAGACGACGCCAGATGCCAGAATGGGCCGGGAAAAAGCAAAGATAGACACACTGACATGTTAAGGTCAACGTCAGATGGTTACAGTCGAGAGTTTGCACAGTATTTCCATTCCACAACTGGCGATACTTGCAGTCGGTTTCTGACAGATCCAGAAGGTGGATGTTTCCCCAGATTCTCCCCGCGATGGCCCAAAGATCGTCATCTGCCGGCACAATACGGGGAGCATTGCCTCTCCTAGCATTCGTATCCAGTTCATCTGCCCAAAAGAAGGTGCGAATAAGGTGACCTGAAAACACTCAGCACTGCCAGACCGACTTCCATCACGTGGTCACATGGCGGCTGGCATCATTGCAACAGTCAGCATCATTTGTACGCCCCGCGACGAGAAACCAAACCTCTACTAGATCAGGTACTTTTTTTTTTCTTCTCCTCTGCTCCCCATGTCTGTCGGTGATGGGAACCGGAGGACTGTGTTTCTAGCGTTGTCCCTCCAGCATCCGTTGGCCAGGACCTGGCGACTGTCGATCTCCGGGTCACCAGATCTCTGCGTTGGCAATTCGATCACATTGCGGATGTTCCCTTGCTCCTCCTGGAATCCCGGGATTACGCGCTGACAAGTCATCAATTCAGTGACTTCTTAATATTGCTTAGCGACCTTCCCGCCGATCTTTTACGATATTATGCCCCCTCCTTATTATTTTTTTCACATCACACGCCCGTGATCCGGAGCAAGCAGGATACCTTGTCCTCGGGGCCCCAGTCAATGGATTCTAATCCTGGAAGAAGAAGATGATGATGATGATGATAGATTCTACTACTGCTGTCCTGTTTCGACGATGAGGTCAGCCTTTCACATTCACACACGCGCGCGCCCTCACAACCAAATCTGTCAGTCATGAGCCTCCGTCCCCTACATTAGGTATACTCCTACAACTGCAGATTCATCCATTTCTGGATGCTTCCTCCGGGCTTCGTATTCCAGGTCCAGGCCTGTCGATCAGCGCCAATACCCACCCCCATGTACTTTTTTTATGTCATTATGATCGCAATTCCATCCCAATTAGGTATTCTATGTTGTTCTATTATCAGGCCCTTCAACAACTTATTCATCACTGGGTCTGACTGACACTTCGGCCCGCAGCTTTTGCTCGGTCACACGCTCCTTTCAACCTCCTTACCCCATATTACTATTGTTGTAATCCTTATTTTGACCATACTCGGGCCCTTCTCCCGCAGGTGGCGCTATGTGTGTGAGTGTGTGTGTTTGCGCTGGCGCTCAGCCTCAGTGTTCAGAAGCAGGCTCTGGGTAGCATTTCTGTACATTCATCCGCGGAACAGTAGGTCAAATGCCTCTCATCTGCTTTGCTTTGTGGCGAGATTGGGGGCGTTCTAGGCTTATCCTCGCTGTTCTACTTACCTTTTATCTTTTTTGATTTCGTAGGCGCCACCGTGTGCATGTGCGCGCTCTTATCTCAATGCAGCTTCTTTCTTTTGCCCTGTGGTTGGTATTTCATATACCTGGTTTTGCTGGTACGGGGACGGCCACTGTATTGATGCGCATGTCAGGGTAGGCGGGCATTGCTGTCCCTCGGATGGAAAGGGGGCGGGTTTCACAGGTGGTGGAACAATGACACGAGGGTTCTCACGTGCTTCATTCATTTTCATCCTCGGTTTGGACTATGGTCACGGTTCAGGGTTGGGATGTGCGATCTTGGTGCTGACTGGGCAGCGGTCATATCTCTTTCTTTGACTATGGACTGGGTGCTCTAATCATACAGGATGCTTATTACAAGGTACTAGTTGGGAAAGTCTGGAGACGGAAGGTAGCCTGCAGAGAAGCGGGCTTTAGTTCAAGGACCCCTTAGGGTTGTCCGGGAAGCGTCGCTCCCAGCCCACGATAGCAGGCTTCAAGGGACCCGAGAAGAGAGTGGAGTAATCGGTTCCGGGCACTCCTTTCCTGCCATCCACATTGAATAGCTTCAGGTGGCGCACGATGGTCGCGATAATGACGCCCAGGTTAACGTAGGCGAACTTCTCTCCAATGCAGCGGTGGCGGCCAGCGCCAAAAGGTAGATAGGGACTAGCAGTGCCCTTAGACACGCTGCCATATCCGTAGTCGACCAACTCTCCTTCTTCCTCCTTGTCAGGCTGGTTCTCCCAACGGTGTGGATCCCACCGGGTTGCGTTGGGGAAGTACTCATCACTAAGCGCTGTTACGCCTGGTGAGGCGAGTAGAACACGGTCTTCAGGGATAACGTAAGATGTGCCAGGTACTGGGAGCGGGTTCTTCACCTTGCGCATGATCGAGTGGATGGACGAGTGGATTCGTAAAGTCTCCTTGATGACACTCTGGAGGAGTGGCAGCTTGTCAAGGTCTTGGTACTGCAGCGGCTCGAAGGCCCCGTTCCTGTTGCTGAGGCTGGCCAACTGTTCTTGATAGAGCTCTTCAAGAACTTGAGGCTCAGAGGCTAGTCGCAGCATGATCCAAGAGCTAATTGAGGAAGAGGAGTGTTGTCCTGCCATCAACAGAGTGATCATCATGTGAGCAATCTCTTTGTCCGGGACCGGCTGTCCGTTCTTGTAGGTGCAGTGCATCAGGTTCCAGATCATGTCGGACTTCTCCTCATCTGGGTTCTTGCGCCGTTCGTTGATGATGTCCGTATAGATCTCCCTCATCCGAGCATGAGCAGCATCACGCTTCCGGTTGTGCGGCAACGGAGCCCAAGGGAGCATAAAGTTGATGGGGCTGAATCCCTTGTCTAGATCGTGATACAGTTCAGCGAACTCTGCAGTAAGCTTCTTGCGGACCTCCTCGCCCTGCAACGCGCGTCCAGCAGTATAGATTGTAATCTCAGCCATGGCAGCAGGGATATCAATAACTCCACTCGCGCCGTTGAACCGTGGAGAGTCCCGGAGATAGTCGAGAGTTTCCTTTTCAATCAGCTGGACGTGTGATTCGAGTGCTGCTTGTGTGAGGCCAAACTTGATGAATTTCTTTTGTTCCATCAGCTTGGAATTAGGGCAGTCGTACACAACGTCGGACCCGAACACCGGGGTGGTGAGAGGGCTGTAGACCTCTTCTGCGCTCACATCCTTGAGTTTGCCATTGAGGATGAAATCGTTGCCTTGAACGCCCAGGTATACGGTGGTCTTTTTGCCCAGCAGCACGAAGGTGAAAATGTCTCCGTACTATTCAACCACTTTGGTCAGTAATTATTGGCAATCGCATGATGCACAGTGGCTGACCTTTTTCCTGCAGGAGAAGAAGAATGCATAGGGATCCATTCCATAGCTGATTGTGCTCCCCAGGAAGGGTATCCAATGAAAGACAACAGGTGGTTCTTTCTCGTTGCGAACGAGCAATTGGCGCGCTACATTCAAGACTATCGCAACGAGCAACGCCGCGAAAGCGTAGGCGCCTGCGACAGCAAGATATGCCATCCTGGAAGCGACTGTAGGCAGAGAAAAGGACCAGTTGATGGGAAAGGTGTTTGTAAAGGAGAAATTCAGGAGCAAGACATCGAAGGAGTAGGTTGTTGTCGGCTCATGACTGTCTGAAGAATAACGTAAACAGCCTTAAGCGCCACGACCTATTAGATATCAATTCCCAGATCTTACCCCTGGCACTGAGCTACATCGGTCCATTCCACTGTAATGGTTCGCAAACACTGTCAGCAAAGGAAGGAGGCATTGCTCGCGGTGGTTCCTGAGCCGGATCAGACCACTTGGAGATCCTTTGAATAAAGTGTCGAACCATGCAAGGCTCCAGTGATGTTGACAGTCACTCTGGCCACTCACAGCTGTGTCTGGAGCATTTAGTGGATTGGGGGCAATCGCTGCTATCGTATTGGATACGCCCGCACATCATTGGACCATTCCCTTCTTGCCTGGACCGGTCTCCAAAACTAACCCCTTTTATCGTCAGCATCGCCACTATGTGGCTTCAACTGTGGATGCCTGGCTTTCGAGAGCTTTCTGCTCAGTCCACTTTGATATCAAACAGTCAACTGGATTTTAGACATCACGACTCAAGATGAGTCATGATGATGGCGACCAGCTTTTGACTCAATAATGCCAATCCAGACAGTCATTCGCCTGCCTTACCCCTTTGGGACTAGCTGTCCCGTGAGCTCCACCCGCCGCCCGCAAATATACATCCGCTCCGATACCTGCTTCTTGCCATGTAGTTCACCAGTCTATTCGATTTTTCCTACAGCAGCTCAATTCAAGGCATTCCAACATGAGCAACGCACAATCAGGGAGCTCTGCGGGTGCTATCTCTGCTGCTATTCAACGACCAGTGTCCAAAGCAGAAGCCTCGAACCCGCGAGAGTTTCAGCTCAACCAGCTCAGAAGACGGTTCAATCCGACAGAAACCAGCAATGACGATGGAACGACATTGAGTTTCGGCTTGGCTCCCTCGGATCCTGACTTTCCGTTTGATATGGACAAGCTTCAGTGTATCTTGCATGTTCCCGGGACATATCCGGCGCAAGGACGGCCGTCTATCAAAGTCACCAATCCTGAAATGGGCAGTGCGTTTCAGGAAAATATCTCGAGAGGATTCGATGATATAGTCGATAGCACTATCAGAAGTGGTAGTCGTGGGACTTTGCTCAGCTGGATGAACAGTCTCGATCGGCATTTGGAGCGTTTGCTCACTACTACGGAACGGGGGCCTACGTTGAAATTCGTGCCTAACGTGGGCGGCAAAGGGAAGCCAGAGGAGCAGAAGCTAGTGTCAAAGATGAGTTCTCTAGCTGTGTCTTCTGGGAAGAAGACCAATCCGACTCGGGTGGAAGCAGCGAGCCCTCAGCCTCCGAAACCCGTATACACCGCGGAAGAGAAAGCTCAGGCGGAGAAAAGAAGAACAATTGAGACGAAGCAGCTTGACGCTCGACTGGGAAGGCTGCCTCTTTTTCAAAAGTCCAGCGATGGCCTGTCGTTCGTGCTTCCAATCCAACCGACTAAGCTAGATCGTCTGCCTATCTCTGTTCGCTCCGTCAAGACAGTGAAGCTCCTAGTGCCTAGCCTGTATCCTCTTGAACCGAGCACTGTTCATTTGCAGGGCATTGATAGCCCAGAAGGACGAGCTGTGGAAGCTGGCTTCTCGCAGTGGCTTGAAGGGAACAAACAGTTGAACCTCGTGTCTCAAGTGAACTACTTGACAAGCAATATGCATAAATTCGCCAAAACACCGCTGAAAGCCCCTGAACCAGCTCCTGTGCCTGTGGTATCTGATGATATAGTACCCAGTGAGCCTCCATCTCAAGCAGAAGGAGTGACATTGGAAGATAAACCACACGTTCACGTTGTGCCCCGCCCTCCTGAATGGGCTGTGGGCGATAACGGCAGTGACACTGACGACTCGGATATGACACCCTCTGAGGATGAGTTTTCTGACGACGATGAGGAAGAAGGGGGGGCTCCTGTGCCAGATCTTCCGGAGCCTACGACGACCGAGCGTGGTGTCGCCCTCTCTTTCCCTTTCCTGGAGCTCTACGGGATTGAGCTTTTAGAGCTTGTAGGTCTCTATATCACCATCAAATGCGATCGATGCAAGGAGCATTTGGATGTCAGAAATATTCCCCAGATCAAGGACAAGAGTGATGAGCTGTCTCCTAAGATTGAGACTTGCAAAAAATGCGCAAATACCATGAGTCTTGGTAGGTACACCACATGCCATCCATATAGTGTATGAATCATCGGGGATTAACTCGCCTCCAGGCTTCCGTCGACAGCTTATGCATCCTAGCGCCACCCGTGCGGGCTATCTTGACTTGGACGGGTGCACAGTCGTTGATCTTCTGCCTAGGTAAGTTGGATCAGATGACAGCTTCCACGTTGCGCATCGGAAACGCTGACAATCTCCGCAGTAGCTTTATCCCGACCTGTGCGGAATGCTCAACAGCGTTTCCCGCGCCTGGTGTTGTTGCAGTTCGGGGCGAAAGTGCCATGGCGAATTGCCGACAATGTCACCGCAAAATGGGTATGTGTTGGATCTCCTAAACACGGACCATCCGCTTACAATTACAGTCATGAAAATCCCAGAAGTCAAGTTTCTGAAAGTGGGATCGGCAGCATGTGAGTTTTCCATTCGATGAATGCTGACAGAATGCTGACAGCAATCGGACAGATTCATCTCGTTTCCGCGAGCCTCCACGGAAGAAGGTAATCCACTACACTAATATCTTTCCTCTGAACTATGCTAATCGTCATAAACAGCCCAAGGAAGTTCTCGGCATCGTTGCTGGTCAAGAATTGCCTCGTCGTGGCCGCTGTACGCACTATGGCAAAAGTTATCGGTGGTTCAGGTAATACCCATTTTGCAGGTGCCTCATTTGAATTTACTCTAACAATCCAACAGATTCAGCTGCTGTGCGAAGGTCTTCCCTTGTGATAAGTACGAACACATTGTGATAGCATCCCATAACAAAGCTAATGAAAGCAGATGCCACGATGCCGCTACAGACCATCCTAATGAGCATGCTAACCGTATGATTTGGTATGTGCCCTTAAACCTGGTATAGTCTACAACGTGATCCTAACGGTTATAGCGGCTTCTGCTCACGAGAGCAAATCTACCGTCCCGAGAATTGCGGAATATGCCGAGCGGTGCTGATTGGCAAAGCCGGTAGCGGATTCTGGGAGGGCGGAAAAGGAACGAGAAACAGGGTACTCATGAGTCGAAAGGGTACGTACAATCACCTATGATTGTTTGTTTCTTATTTCATGGATGACTGACAATCGATATAGATCCACGTAAATACAAGCGTCGTGGGGGGACAACACCAGGCGGTGCCAGTTCCTCGAAGAAGTAGTAGATTAGCAACACGATGAATGAAAATATATTCCTACGCGGGAAATATATATAAACTTTGGAGAGATTCCATACAAGGGAGATGAATTGTATACTCTTGCACAAATACCTCATAAGATGACCAAGAGACCGATACTTGTCCCAAATTAACTTTACCACAATAGACCAGACAATATCGCCTGCTGACAACCCATGAGTAACACATGAACAGCCGTCAACTATCCGATAAGATAGATAGATAGATAGATAACCCACGAATCCGCTAAAGGAATCCAGCAGCGCGGAAGTGAGTCTCGGGATCAACCTATGTCGGTCTTTAATATCTTTGTTCTCAGGCAAAGTAAACAGTGACGACTTTAATCAAGTCCAAAAAGAAAACGAATTTCAGACATAAATCACTATGTTTAGCTGGGAGCTAGCAAAGGAACAAAAACAAAAGCAAAAAAAGAAATGATTAAGCTCCGATAGGGGGAATCGAACCCCCGGCTGCCGTGTGAGAGACGGCGATGTTAGCCACTACACCATATCGGATTCTTGTTGAAGAACACAGCTTATTTTGCCAATAAGAGGGGTAATTGTCAATACTTGAAATTCTTGTGGGCTAATCCAATCTTCTTATGATTGTTGTGTACAATTCGCTAAGGCAGATATACATACAGTTGAGGATTCCACGATATTCACCCTTGCTGAACATACTGTATGTGTCTTTCACAGTGGGCACTCTGTATTATATAGATGCCATCATCATATACTTCATATTAATCGAATTATCCCATTAATAGATAGAATAAATCAAGACTTTATAAATAACGGATTGGTTACACAGTATCCCGAATCGTTCTTTACCTGAAGTATTGTCTGTTGTTTGGTTTCAACTAGTCCAGTCCAATCCAGTACAGTACTAGTAAATCCAAAGAACATAAAAACAAGAAAAATATAAAAATTAACAGTCAATGTACTTGGCAACCTGGCCGAATTGTACACCATCCCCTTCAAATTACTGTCTTGCAGTTCTTGTACTAAGAATTATAAAAATGAATCAGACGAGGTTACCACGCAGAGCCTGTTCCCTCTCAAGTGCCTCAAACAGCGACTTGAAGTTGCCGGCACCGAAGCCGCTGAAGTTGTGGCGTTGGATGATTTCGATGAAGACGGTTGGGCGGTCCATTAGGTGCTATATCATATTCATTAGTATATTGCATTGTTTGTTTATGTAGGAAAATGGTGCACATACCTTAGTGAAAAGCTGGAGCAAATACCCGCCCTCATCGAAATCGATGAGAATGTCAAGGTTGCGGATGGTCTCAAAGTCCTCGTGAAGAACCAAGCCCGTCTTCTTGAGACGGATCTTGATGTCCTCGTAATATGTGTCGGGGACCTTGATGAATTCGACTCCGCGTGCCTTGAGGTTGGTGATGTCGCGGATGATGTCGTCGGTCAGGAGTGCAATGTGCTGCACACCGGCGCCGTTGTAGTAGTCCACGTATTCTTCGATCTGGGACTTTTTCTTGCCGACGGCGGGCTCGTTGATAGGCATCTTGACGACTTCGTTGGGAGATGCCATGACGATGGACTTGAGTGCGGAGTATTCACTGTCATCTCGTGAGTTCACTGTTTCAGA